ACATAATATTGTTTCAAATAAAAAAGATAAAAAAAGATAAAAAAATAAAAAAGACTTATGTTAAAAATAATATCTACCAGGTGATAAAGACAAATATAGGATAATGAAAAGATTTTTTCTATTGATATCACGTATAGAAAAATATTAGAAACTCATAACAATATTGGATATACAAACCTTTTATCAAAATGACAACAAACACTCCCCAAACACCCAGGAAGACGGAACTGAAGGGGGCCATTCCTAGCGCTGTGCGGTCTTCGTCAATTGAACATCATTCGGCTCGTTTCTGCGACACAGAGAGAAGGAAAACCAGTTGATTCACGGGCTGGGCTCGAAAGTGCTCGCGTGTCGCGCACCCTCTCACGTGCCCCTCCGAGGCCCGCGGAGGTCGCGACTTTCGCCCTCTCGGGTAACTTCAACAGCCTGAACCATCCACGAGAGACTCTGATGAGCCCCGGTAACTTTCGAGGGAGAGAAACTTGACGATCTACGATAACGTAATTGATCCGTCAACCGTACCGCCCCTTCAAAAAGAACAAAAAAGAAAGAAAATCCGCGAACCGCCGTCGTCGGTTCTAATCTAATCGTTTGGCGTCACGCAACGCGACTCCGACGCCGACGAACATCGACGTTGAATTTGCATCTCTGACGCTCGTTCCGCACGAGAGGATTATCGTGTGGCATGATAACGCTCGCGGGTGACTTTCACGTTCGTGTGAATTCTCGCATAGCCGTTACAACAAGTCCGTAATCGGATCAGTCATCTGTTGTCTTCAGCAAGGAGAAAAGCTCTTTCTCTGCCTCTCTTATTATTCGCGGTATTTTCGCGGAATGCATGCAACAGAGAATGTATTAAGCAAGGCGCAAGCCGAGCATTACGAGTAAGAAAGAAGAGACAAAATCCGTAGTCATCGTTGTCCGGCGTCGCTTAAATGGGGGCGGGGTTCTCTCTTCGCTCGATCCCCACTCTGGTCCATTCTGTGGAGTCCACTTCACCCCGGGTTCCTCCACGGTACTCGAGCGGTGTATTCTTAGGTCAGGGAAAACTCGAGTGCGCGGCTCGCTTCGATCGATCGATCGGATCTCCACACGTCCGTCCACGCGAAGAAGAAAAAAAAAGAAAAGAAGCTGGCAAGAGCGAGCGAGCGAGCGAGCGAGTAAGCGAGAGAGAGAGAGAGAGAGAGAGAGAGAGAGAGAGAGAGAGAGAGAGAGAGAGTACGTGCTTTCCGTACGCTCGTGAATTTCAAAGGATAGTCACTCTTCGTCGTCGCCGCGTCAGCCGCACGACTTATTCTCTTTTTCTCTTCCTCTATCTCCCTCTCTCTTTCTTTTTTTTTCTCTTTCGTGCCTCGACTTCGGTGATGTGTCTTCGAGATAGATACTTTTATCGCACATCGAAACTCGCTGCTGAAATATCTCGAGCCTTCGCGCCCATCGATCGTGCTTCGCACGTAGCCACTTCATCCTGCTTTAGTCGCCTATCGACCGATACAAACGGACTTTCTCCCAAAACGCCAGAAGTTTGTGTTCACTGTTGAATTTTCACTGTTCTCGTCAGAAATAAATTCAAGAAATATAATTAAAAAATAATCAATCAGATTACACAAGATAGATTCGTTGATCGAAATTGATCTGGAAAAAGAAATTATTTTATCATTAAATCTGATAAGGAATTAATGATAAAATTATTCTTTTTCTTGGTTAAATAATATTCTATATTAGAATTATATATGCGATATAAATAGAGGAAGAGAATTGAACTAATCTGAAATTAAAGACAATTCTTGCGCGCGCGCGCACATAAAAACCAGCTCTTTCTAATCACATTGTCATCATTTGACGTTTTTTTTATCCCGTGATGAATCGTTTAAATTTTTGAAGTGAAACGCTTTAAAACTGACAAAAAAAAATTCGATACTATACTATGACATTTTTTTAATTTGTCAACCTGTTTCTACATACAAATCACTCAGCATTTAGAGAAATGTCAGTGTTGTTTAAAAAATAACTGGATTTTTATTACATTTTAATTTGTTTTTAGAACTAATATAAATGATTATCAACGATTATCGAACAATAAAGTCAAAATTTGAGTTTTTACGAGAACATAAGTTTGCAAAATTTATTTATTATTATTATTACTTTTAGCAGTAATTGTTGAAAATAATGACGATTATACTTAGCATTATACTGTATGACTAATTTTGTATGAATTTCGTATTTTGAAAAGCAATTGTACGTATACAAATTTAAATAAAATATCTCACACTTAGAGAATTGCTATGTGATATATCATTCAACATAATTTAGTCAATTTAATTATTTACTTTTTTCGCGAGAAAGAACATCAAATTATCGTTACATCGTTCGAAATAATTAACACTTGCAGTACGTTCAGCTTCATTAGTTTTTATTTAGTGACTCGAAGGGGATTAACTCGATATTTCGCGAGGTCCGTCATACCCACGGGAAACGATGCGCGTAGGAATCTTGATCGATTTACCGTATTACCAGAGTGCAAGCGTTCATCTCTTGTTGCTTCGCGTTTCCAGGCCGAGCGAGTGGCTAAACTCAAATTGTTATCACCGCTAATCGATTAATCGAACGATGTTCCACCTCCGGCGAGCTTCTCCATCCCGAGCAACAAACATTCCATCCGCGCGTTCTGAATCCCAGACAAACGCGATGGTAAGGATCGACGCGAATGTCTCGTTCACACAGAAGAAAAGTATTCCCCTTCCCCCTTCCCTCTCCTCTCCTTTTTCATCATACTATATCGACTATCTCTCTTACATCTCTCAATCGCTTTTCACTACGATTCCTTCATACCTTAATCCGCTTCTGCTTCATACGCTGTATTCTCACACACCACGTTTCCCTTTACATGTCTCTATTTCCCTCGTTTCCTTATATCCCGCTTCTACTTCGCTTGATCGCTTCTACTTATAGCTTCATGCTTCAGTTGCTCGCTACCTCATACCTGGATCGTCTTGCTTTTCATATCATCTTCACGACGTCGCGATGCCGCGCGCAGTCACGCGACGAAGACATATCTTGACGTTTATCCTGTCAACTACTAAATCGTCTTCAGTACATTCGATGCGGAAGCGGGCTTACGGGTGCTGATCGAGGATGATTGAGAAGTATAGAGGGAAAGAGAGATAGAGGAAAGAGGAAGAGAGGAAGATAGAAAGAGAGTAGGTGCACGCAGGTGCGACGGGGGGGCAGGAGCGCGCGCGAATCGATCGCGGGGTCCGCGACGCGAAACGCCGCGACGCGGCGACGAACGGTGCGGCCGAAAATTCGCGTGACGAGAACGCGAAATGGGGAACGCGCGCGGCGTCTCCCTTGCGGAAATCAATAAGCGGCGATCGCTGAGAACGTGGTTTCTCCGCACCGTCCTAACGTTTCCCTTCCGCTTTTCGTCAACGATTTGACGATTTCGACTTCGTGCACGCGAATCGGCAAAAAAAACTTTACATATTCCTCTAAAGAAAGAAAGAACCTACCCCCTCTGTACGTTTACAGTTCGCCTCTCTCTCGTTCGCTCGTTGAACTATCACTAGGAGATACTAACCGTGGACGACGAAAAAGACGACGTCTTTCTTTTCCTCCTCCTCCTCCTTCTCCGCCGGCGCACCACTTCTTCCACCGATTTCGCCGTCGACCGCGGCCACGACGACGCGCGCCACGCAAGCCGGTGTCCTCTTCGAGGACGATGCCGCCGGAGGACGATGCCGCCGTACGCGTCGCGGCAGATTCGCCGATTCGCGGCCCGGCGCCCGAGAACTTTCCACAGATACTCCCTGTCTTTTATTCTCCCGATTTTCTCTCCGCTATCTTGTATATTTCTTTCTCTTCCACCTGTCCTACCGATTTCTGTTTTTTTTTTTCCCCTCGATCACGGAATAATTTCGTTAAAAGCGCACGGCGGCGAAGGAACGACGAAGGAGGAACGACTGCCCTACGAGGCGACTGTATACGTCCCTCCTCGCGCGTCCTCACCCCCTACACCCCTTCTCTCGCTTGAATCTCTTTCTCTATCCCTCGCACGCCAGCTACCCTCGGCATCTCTCTCTCTCTCTCTCTCTCTCTCTCTCTCTCTCTCTCTCTCTCTCTTTCTCTCTTTCACTCACTCACTCAGTCTTGACGTTATCGTGGCGCACGCGCCAGGTGGGCGCCTTCCTCTCTACCCTCCTCAGCGCGTGTGCGCTGAGCGCTCTCTCCATTCTCTCTCTTTGCCTATCTCACCTTCTCTCTTTCCCCTTTCCCTCCTTCATCACCCTCTCGCGCGCGCGATCTATTTCGTATTCGTTCCTCCTGCGCGTCCCGCTCTGCCCGCTCTGCCCGCTCAGCTCGCTCGCTACGTTCGCGCTTGTTCGGCCGCCGCATCGACGCGTCCGGACACGGAGGATGAGATTCTTGTGCCTCGCTCGTACATTCGCCCGTTCGTCCGCTCGCTCACAGCCACCATCATCATCGTTTCTCGTCGTCAGGACGTTTGCGCACTCGAGCCACTGCTGGCATGAGTCGGAACAAGAGGAATGAAAGCATGAGGGAAAGAGAGCACCCGGAAAGTGGAGACGCTCTCTCTTCCGTCTTTCAGTCATGAAGGAATCCCGCGCGAGCCGGCTCGAATTACGGCGAATTGACCTATTTGCCTCAAAGGGGGTGGGTTGGTTGCGCTCCTTCGGTAGGAGACGAGCCCGCTCTTGCGAGAAGCGTCCGGAATCGTAAGCCGGATAAGGGCGCAATGTCGTAGAGCGCGACCTCGAAGCCGCTCTCTGCAATTTCCCTTCCCTTTGTATGCAAGCGGCGGCGCTCGATTGCACAAAAGGGAGAGGGATCGAGGGTCGGAAAATCTTGGAGCGAATCCCTCCTTCCCCTTTCTCTCTCTCTCTCTCTCTCTCTCTCGTCTTTACCCCTCGTCCCTCTTCGGCCATCGGATTCGCGTTTCTTTTCTTCTCGAGACTTGCCGCGCGTAACCAGAGCGCGCTATTATATCGGGCGTTCGGTCGGTCGATCCCAGGGTTGCTCCCGCTTTCCGGAGAAGTATGCCAGGAATTTATAGAATCCATCGGGGATATCGGCAAACTGATCCCATCTCGTCTGGATATTTCTTGAACCACCACAAACGTAGATATACAATTCTGAACGGATATTCGAATTATAATTATCGCGTTGCGGAAATTAGATTGATTGGCACGAATTATTAATAACTGACATGTGGATCATTAA